TGAGCAGGGAGCCCGATGCGGGACTCGATCCCGGGACTCCAGGATCATGACCTGAGCCGAAGGCAGTCGCCCAACCGACTGAGCCACCCAGGCGCCCAACACACGTACATTCTTGTCTGGTTTTCTAGTTTCTCTGCCCTCGTGTAGGCAGGTGCGGTTACGCTAGCAGTGATGCGAAGCCAGTGCTGCTGTGGGGGCTGGAAGGCCTGCATCGAGTCTTCGCTCCAGTGGTCGTTAGTGCTGTGACCGTGAACGAGTAATTAAATCTCATTCAATAAATGAGTCCCTCCCTGTGTCAGATAGTGCGTTAGACTCGAAGGGTGGGGAAATGAGTACAACATTGGCCATAGTTTCATTTGTCTTTTTTGACTTTTGGGGAACATACTGAGTAACAGGCAATTAAAATGTTCAACTCTATTTCATTGCTTTTTTTTTTTCCAATGAAATAATAAACGTGAAAGTATCCCAGTAAACTTTAGAGAATTATCCAAATATATGGTATTATTTTATTATAGTGTATTCCATAGGCACACATAATTTTCCAAAATCAGAATATCTTGGATAAAAAGGCCTCAAATGTCAAAGAAAAGTTTCTGATTAACAAATGAATTTCTGCCTGAAAGTAACAAGATAAAGACCAAAAAGAATCTGATGTAATAACTCACTGCATTCACTAACAAGTCCCTCATCCCCTGTGTAATTTTAGCATGAAGGGATTCACTTTTAGGTTAAGATTCTTTGCTTTGTTCACAAATGACACCATATAAAAAATCTGTGCAGTGGATTTTGTAATTCTTCATAATCCTCAACACAGTTGAATCTATTGTTTTTGCTCCCTTTATGGCAAGCCCTTTTTGTGGTCTGTTCAAGAAATCTTTGTTTACTCCAAGGTCATGAAAATGTTTTTAGTTTTTCTTTTTTTTTTTTTAAGATTTTATTTATTTGTTTGAGAGAGAGAGAGAGCACATACAAGAAGCAGGGAGGGGCAGTGGGAGAGGGACAGGCAGACTCCCCACTGAGCAGGGAGCCCAACCCAGGACTCGATCCCAGGACCTTGGGATCATGACCTGAACTGAAGGCAGATGCTTAACCGACTGAGCCACCCAGGCGTCCCTTAGTTTTTCTTCTAAAAGCTTTATTGGATGCCTGGATGGCTCAGCTGGTTAAGCATCTGCCTTCGGTTCAGGTCATGATCCCAGAGTCCCTGGACTGAGCCCCACATCGGGCTCCCTGCTCAGTGGGAAGTCTGCTTCTCCCTCTGCCCCTCAC